GCACTGCTGAGCCATCGTCTTTTCACGTCACTTGTTTTAACAGACAGAAGCACTTAAATATGTTTATGTGTGACCTAGCTGAGTTTTTCTAGTGACTTAGGCAACATTAATTAAATAAGGTCACTGTCTTTCATTGTACGACCGCATTAGTAAGACTGAGGAGCAATCACCAGACATTTAAAAACAAGAAGAAAGTATGTTCTGAAGCGTCCTGGATCTCAGAAAGTCGCCACATCTTTTCAGTCCATCGGCTTTAGATGTTGTTAACTCGACAGCCTGTAGGTGTTCATCGTTGACTTTACATCCGAAGCTGACAAAAGTTTTCATCAGTTCATAATGTTGTGAGCACAGTGCCTCATTCCTGAGCATTTCCCATCCTTTCATCACTATGCCAACCAGAATAATATAGGAAGCTGAAACAATGAACTGATGAGGGCTCGAATATCCTGGTTACTGTTATTACAGGTTCTTTCCCAGACCACAAGGTGCAGTGTTAAGCATTTACTCTGCATGCTACGCCACTGTGTTCACGTTTCGTCATCTCCACATTTTCTCCTCGTGCATGTTTCTCATTTCTAGGTCAGCGCTAACATTGCACAGAGAGAGGCCAAACGAGCCAACCTCTGTCAGTGTCTGCTCTTATTTCCTCTAACTCGGTATTCCTGGAAGGGCCAGTTCTCTCACTAAATGTTGTTATCCAAGCTGAATGATGTGCTAGTGGTCAGTGAGATTTTACTCAGAAGTACATTTTCTTAGGATCATTTTTAAAATAGACAATTTATTTTCATTATCTGTTCAACTTAGTCTTTGCATTTGTCCTTTGTGTTTCCATTTCAGGTCTGACACACATAGTGCAGCTTGACTTGGACCTGAAGTACAGGACCAACATCAGGGACCTTTTTCAGGAGTTTCACCGGTTTCCTCCAGGAGCAGTTATAGGGATCGCCAGAGAGATGCAGCCAGTATACAGGTAAGCAGTGCAGACCTACAGAGCACCTACTAGGGAAGCTTCAGACTGACACCAGTCTGCTGCATCTTCACATGCAAGTGAATAAAAGTGAGGCTCTCTGCTTTTAACTTCGGCGCTCTTGCTTTCAAGTGTTCGCTCAATACGTCAGTATAATTTCCGGCTCAGGCTAGATCAAAGGCTAGCATCTGTCATGAGGAGAGACTCGACTGCTGGGCTTTGACTTTTGGCAAGAAAGCATCCTCACTTTGTTTTTAAATTGTGCCAAAGTAAAATTCAGGTGTCAGTCTGACAAAAAAAATTACACCCTCTTTCGATTCAAAGGTTTTATATGTCTGGATGTAATAAAGAAATTCATCTGTTCCTAGCAGGTCTAAAAATGTGATAACTACAACCTCAGATTAACAGTTGCACACAGCATATACTGTATTGTGTCAATATGTATTTAACAAAGAGCATATAAGAAGGTCATAAACGGCTAAGTGCACTTGATTCATTGAGAAGTTTTGTCAGTTTTCTGGTCTGGAGCGTTCAGGTATGTCTTTAACACAGTGCCAGTGAGGAAAGACGTCAGCAGTGATGTTAGAGAAGCAAATGTTGCTGCTCATCAATCTGGGAAGGGTCATAAGGCCAGTTCCAAACAATTCGTCCAGCGAGAATGACTATTCTCAAGTGCAAAGCATTTAACACTCCTTCCCAGGAGTGGACGTGCCAGCAAATTCACCCCGAGGTGAGACCACGCAATGCTCATGATACTGCAAAAATCCCAGAGCTGCATCTCAGACTCTACAGCAGGGGTGTCAAACTCAAATACACAGTGGGCCAAAATTCAAAACTGGAACAAAGTC